TACATGAGAGTTTGGAGAGCTATCCAGATCGGCGGAAGGCAGTGTTTTGGGAAAATAATGCCCAGAAGATGACCTCATATGCCCCAGTCATGCCCCTTTATAACACTGAACAAAAGTCAAGCATTTAAATTGAAATATGAAACTTTGCCAGCAAGGCAAAGTAACCTCTCCTTGAACCTCAGATTGTACTAACTGGGATGTCAATTGTCTTTAAATTGATTCAATCACTAAGCATTTACTAAATCTCTACTATGTGCCAAGGGTAGGCTAGGTGGTACAATGGATAGAGTGCTGGGTCCGGAGTCAGGAAGATCTGAGTTCAAATCTAGCCTCAAACACTTACTAGCTGTGTGACCCTGGAAAAGTCACTTAACCTTGTTTGCCTCAGTTTCCTCATCTATAAAAGGAGCTGGAGAAGGAAATGGCAAACCATTCCAGAATCTTTGCCAAGAAAATCCCAAAGTGGGTCATGAAGAGTCAGACACAATTGAAACAATTGAACAACAACAAAAAAATGTGCCAAACATTGTATGAGATGCTAGGGATAAAAAAAATAGCCCCTGCTCTCAGGGAGCTTCCACTCTACTGGGGATACAACATTTGTACATATATATAAATGTATTCCTATATACAGTGTATGCCACATATGTAGTCTATATATGAAATAGATAGATGGATGGATGGAGAGATAGGATGAAATGGAGTTAGATAGATGGATGAATGGATAGATAGACAGACAGACAGACAGACAGATAGATACAATAGAGAGTTAGATAGATGGATGAATGGATAGATAGACAGACAGACAGACAGATAGATAGATAGATAGATAGATACAATGGAGAGTTAGATAGATAGATGAATGGATAGACAGACAGACAGACAGACAGGCAGATAGACAGATAGATAGATAGATAGATAGATACAATGGAGAGTTAGATAGATGGATGAATGGATAGATGAATGGATAGATAGACAGACAGACAGACAGATAGATAGATAGATAGATAGATAGATAGATAGATAGATAGATAGATAGATAGATAGATAGATAGACAGATAGAATGGATAGATGGATAGATACCATGAAGGTAGTTTAAGGAGGAAGGGCACTAGCATTTAGATGAATTTGTGCCACAGGCACAAAGCCCCAAGTCCCTGGCTCAAATGAACACATTCTTGGTCGCCAAGTTGTTATGGTCTTTAAGTGGTTTTTTTCCCCAACTTTTATATCCCCACTGCCCTTTAGAGACTTGTCAAATCAAAACCCATTTCCCTGACTTGATACTGAGGCTGCCCATTCCAGCAAGGACATTCTCCAACAAAAGGATAAGAGAAAGGACTGTTTAAAACCTATGAAAATTTAGATTCACGTCATAGGTTAGTCATGAAGTGATTTTTCCTTTAACAAAGAGATTCTTGGTAGGATGCCTTTAAATAGCAAACTCAATTTAATTAACATGGTTAAAATCATAGAATTAAATTATTTTATTTACAAGCTGCTATTCAAGATTGCATGTCCTTTTTGAAGTGAGATACAGCTGTATTATTTTTCTTTGCGTGTTTAACTTGCCATGACTCACAAGACAATTGGATGAAAGTATTATAAGATTGTGTCTTTGCTGATGTAAAGACTGTGTACGAATGGAGAGAGCTTTGCTCTGGCTTTGCAGGCATGGCTCCTTCTGACAGATGTCAGCTAATCTCATTTACAGTCAGTGAAATGGGGAGATCTCAGTTGGAGAAGAGACAGTGGGGGTGTTCTGGATAGGGCACTGGACTTGGAGGCAGGAAGAGCTGGGTTTGAATCCCACCTGAGCCACTGACTAGCTGTGTGATAAATCACTTGACCTCTTTGTGCCTCAGTTTCTTCATCTGCAAAATGAGGCATTTAGACTAGATGACTTTTAATGTCCCTTCCAGTTCCAAATCCCTGATCCTATGAAAATTTCATGAGTGTTTGTGTTTGACATCATTGAAAACCCTTATCTCTTCCATTTTTAAAAAATGATCTCTTGATCTTACCATCCCCAATAACTCCCGTCTAATAGCTCTCTCTTGCTTCTTGGCTAACCTCCTTGAGAAAGCTGTCTACAGCCATGCCTTGGAGGGCACTCCTCTCCTACTCTTCTGACCCCTCTGCAGTCTGTCTTCCAATTTCATCAGCCAGCTGAAACTTCTCTCTATAAAATTCCCAATGATCTCCTAAATGCCAAAGCTAGTGGGTTTTTTTCAATCCTTATCCTTGACCTCTATGCAGCCTTTGAAATGGTTAATCACCATCTCTTCCTGGATGCTCTTACCTCTCTAGGTTATCATGACACTCCTCTCCTGGTTTTCCTTCTACCTCTCCAACCGATCCTTCTCATTGTCCTTTGCTGTATCTTCATTCATGTCACTCCTACTAAGAACAAGTGTCCCCCAAAGCTCTGTCTTGGGTCCTCTTCCTCTATACCAGGAGTTTTCAATTTTTTGTGTGTCATAGAGCTCTTTGTAAGTCTGGTGAAGCCCGAGGACTCTCTTTTCAGAATAATATTTCATTTTTTAAAATTAATTAATTTATTTTTAGTCAACATTCCCTTTTATAAGATTTTGAGTTCCAAATTTTTCCCACACCCTACCCTCCTCCACTCTCCAAGATGGCATGCAATCTGATATAGGCTATACATGTACAATCATATTAAACATATTTCCGTATTAGTCATGTTGTGAAAGAAGAATCAGAACAAAAGGGAAAAACCACAAGAAAGAAAAAAAAAACAAAAAGAGAGAGAGAGAAAATAGTATGCTTCAATCTACATTCAGACTCCATAGTTCTATCTCTGGATGTGGATAGCATTTTCCATCATGAGCCTTTTGGAATAGACTTAGATCATTGTAATGCTGAGAAGAGCTAAGTCTATCAAATCTGGTCATGTGGGAGTCATCACACAGAATAATATTTTAAAACGCATGAAATAAAGCACATAAGATTACAAAGGAGATAAAAAGGTTAATGGAAATAAAGATACAATTTTTGCCAACCAAAACAAATGAGATATATTTGTAAAGCACTTAACATAGTGCTTGGCATATAGTAGGCTCTCTATGAATGCTTCCCTCCTCTTCCCATCTGAGTTCACAAACTTCCTGAAATGGATCCACAGTCCTCTTGGGCATCCATGGATGGACTCCAGTTTAAGAGTCCTTGCTCTCTACTATCTCATTTAATTATCTCATTATATCCTCTGTATTCAATGATCATTTCTATGCACATGACTCCCAGATCTATCTATATATCCATCCCTAAACTCTCTCCTGAACTCTCCTGTTGTATCACTGCCTCCTGGACATCTTACAGAACGTTGAGCTGCTATAAGCATCTCAACCTCAACATGTCGATAAAATAACTCATTTGCCCCCAAATCTTCCCCTCTTCCCAATTTTCTTATTACTCTTAAGAGCATGACCATCCTCCTACTCACCCAGGCTTCCAACCTCAGTGTCATCCCCTACCCTTTAATCTCAATCACCCCACTCCCTAGAGCCAATCTGTGGTCAAATCTTATCATTTCAAGCCTCACACGGCTCCCATGTACACCCCCTTCTCTCCACTCATTCAGCCACTACCCTGAAGCAGGCCTTCATCTCCTGCTTCCTAGACCAATTCCAAGCATCTACTCATTAGGTTCTCCCCACTTCAATCTATCCTCCATTCAGCTGTCAAACTGCTCTTCCTAAAGCACAGATCTGACTGTGCCGACCCCTCCACCACTCAGTAAACTCCAGTGGCCCCCTATTACCTCCAAGATGACATATGAAAGTCTCTGTTTTCATTTTAAATCCCTCCACAGCCCTTTCCAATCTTCTAACACTATTTGCTCCATAATCCACACACACTGGTCTCACATATGGTGCTTCATTTCTAGTCTCTGTGCCTCTGTTCATCATACCTAGAATGCTCTCCCTTATTACTTCTGTCTCTGGGATTCCCTGGATTCTTTCAAGTGTCTGGCCAAATCCTACCTTCTGCAGGAGGAATTCCTGGCCCCGCCTACCGCACTTCCCAACCCCCACCCCCATTCCCTTCCTCTGAGATTACCTTCCATTCACCCTGTGTATCTCTTAGATGTACCTAGTTATTCATGTTCCCTCCATTAAAATGGGAGCTCCCAGAAAGGAGACCATTGTTTTTTCCTCTCTTTGTGTCCCCAGCACTTAGCATAAAGCCTGACACATAAAAGAGCTTAATATAAGTTTGTTGACTGATTAAGAAAGCCTCATGCCATATTTAACAATGGAAACATATCACAGATAAATTACATTCTAGTTGTCACTAAAGGATTCTCCCCATGCCTTGTTTACTGCATCATTAATGGGGGAGGGGAAGAAGAAGAGGATAAGCAGTTATTAAACACCTACTATGTGCCAGGCATTGTGCTAAGTGCTTTACAAAGATTATCTCATTTTGATCCTCACAACAATCCTGCAAGATAGCGACTGTTACTACCCTCATTTTATAGTTGAGAAAACTGAGGCAGGCAGAACTTAAATAACTTACCCCGGTTCACATAGCTAGGCAATGTCTGAAGTCAAATTTGAACTTGGTCATCTTGACTCTGGGCCCAGTGATTTATCCACCACCCCATTTAGCTTAATTATGATTTTAATTAGAAATTTTAGAAATAGTCAATTCAAACAAAACTTTGTGGATACCTGATACCTACCAGAAGGTTACTAGCCTCCTTGAACCATAGTCTTATCTGATGAGAATTGGATCTGTGATGATCCCCAAACTCCACAGAATGAATGCATTTGCTGGACTATTTAGCAGCGTCATAGCCTGGGGAGGTAGGGGAGAGGTGGGTAGTTCTAAGCAGAATTTTTTTTCATAACGTAACTACTATAACATGTTTCTAATGACCTGTGATTTCATAATCACTAGCCGTATATCTGTATTACTAAGACATTGATAACTATAAAGAAAAGATTCATTCAAGTTCTTTTCCCCCCTCTTTCAGACTCTCCCTTCCAGAAGATGCAGGAGAATATTTTGACAAAGAGACAAGAGTCCTGCAGGCCCCCGTGACAATAAGAGTCGCTGATCAGGTCAGTGGCACGATTGACTGATGATGTCAGCTAAATTACAGGCCAAAGGCTCGGACATATGTGATTCTAGGCTGATCTTTGATCAAAGCTGTTAAGAGTGGCCATTCATTCATTTATTATTTTAGTAAACGAGGCATGGGAGGTGTTCAGGGAGGGCTAGCACCTCTGGTGTGAGGGCTTATCGAGCCCTTTCCAGGGCTGCTCATCTACCTTCGGTGTTCACCTGTCACCCAACCCATCTGTGGATTCAAACAGCTGTAGCATGGGCAGCAGCCACACCCTGGTAAAAAAAAAAATCCCATCTCAGCAGACAGGCTAAACCAGGTTGAGGATAACTGATGGGCCTCAGATGCATCAGTGAGTTAGGGAGGTGTCTACTCCAAGCATGTGAAGACTTCCCCTGGAGGAATGGACGGATGAGAAGAATTTGTTCCAACAGCCACAGAGGCGGCTGAAGCGGGAACCATGGAGCACTTAGAACTTAATTAGATATGGAAGACACTAAGGTCATCCACTGTATCTTGGGCCATCTCCAGTCGCTCGATTTTTGTTCTGCCACTGGACTTTGATGACTCTGGAAGAAAGAGTGAGGCTCTGCCTCACTTAAATCCAATTCACAAATGAGCCAATGCATCCCCCTGTGGTGTCATTGTATCTCTTAAAAAATGAAGGACAAACAACATTTCAGTAAAAACAGAAGTCTTCCGTTGGAAAAAAAAAATATGTGCTGGAAATGTGTAGTTTATTTCCAAGGGCGCATAACCAAAGAAAAGAGTATCTGCATTTATTAAACACTTCTATGGACATGTTTTCAAAGCAAATCCTAAGACCATGAAACAGCATGCCATTGGAGAGAACATTGGCGCTAAGCGTCAGGAGACCTTGATTTCCACTTTGGGCTTGGAGTGTGACTTGAAACAAGTCATTGTGATTTTCTTGGCCTCAGTTTCCTCATCTGTAAATGCAGCTAGTGGCCCAGTGGATAGAGCACTGGGTCTGGAGTCAGGAAGACCCAAGTTCAAATCTGGTTTCAGACACTTAACTAGCTGTGTGATCCTGGGCAAGTCATTTCACCTCTACTTCCTCAGTTTCCTCATCTGCAAAATGGAGATAATAGCCCACCTAACTCCTCAGGATTGTTGTGAGGATCAAATGAGATAATCTTTGTAACATACTTAGTACATAGTAGCAGCTATGTAAATGTGTTTTGACCGGCTGATGTCATAACATGGGCTTCCTGGCACTTCCCAGCTCCCCAGGGAGGGGGCACTCATATAAAGCCTCCCCTCACCCTCCCTGAGTCATGAATTCCTCTAGGCAACTTCTCAATTGACTCTCCCTACTTCTGCATAAGCCCTTCCCCAGAACCTTCCTTTTGGGGTTGAATACAGTATATGAGCAGGTGATGCTATGGTTAGAGTGCCCAGCCTGGAGTCAGGAAAACCTGAGTTCAAATCCAGCCTTAGACACTTCCTAGCTTCATGACCCTAGGCAAGTCACTTCACCCTGTGGGTCTTAGGTTTTTCTCCATCACTCTGACTCCTGGACAGCTTCATCCCTTGGCCACCACAACAGCTTCCTCCCCTGCAAAAGGGAGGTTGACCTTTATTCCTTCCGAGCTTCCTTCCAGCCGGGACATTCTGGGATCCCCAATGGGAGAGTTCAGCTCTGTCCTTGGGAATATGCACAACCCCATTTTGTCCCCAGGAGGTGAGTTTAAGTAGCTAGTTTGTGAGGAGGGGGGAAAAGAATAACAATTTATTAAGTACCTACTGCGAGTCGGGTACTGTGCTAAGCACTTTACAAACATCCCATTTAATCCTCATAACAACTAGATGCTGTTATTATCCCCATTTTGCAGTTGAGGAAACTGAGGCAAACAGAGGTGGGTTTTTTTGTGCCACTGTGCCCCCTAGCTGCCCCATAGAGATCCTTATGTAAGGTTTTTGTTGCTGTTTTATGGATTAGAAGACCCCATTTGGGCTTTTTTTTGGCAAAGATACCAGAGTGGTTTGCCATTTCCTTCTCCAGTTCATTTTACAGATGAGAAAACGGAGGCCAACAGGGTAACTGACCTGCTCAGAGTCACATAGCTAGTAAGTGTCTGAGGTCACATTTGAACTCAGGTCCTCCTGACTCTGGGACTGGCGCTCTATGCACTATGGTGCTACCTAGCTGCCCTTATGTAAGATTTAATGGGCCCCATTTCTATTTGAATTTGACCCCACTGCTGTAGGGCAAAAAAAGGAGGTGTGGGGGGGGCACATGTTGTCCTCAGAGGTTGAGGGTTATGAACGGTGGTTATGGACAGGCAGAAGTCACACAAAGAGAAGAATCAAACCAAGAGGGCTAGGGGCATTTTGAGTGCAACCCCAGTTTTGGTTGTTCAGGTGCAAACACCATTGACACTCACTCCATATTTCCCCAAGATACTTCCATTTCACATCATCAGAACTGTCCTGTGAGCACGCTCACCAGCCTCTCCCACAGGGAGAGCTTATCAGCAATGCTGCACATGTTCATGAAGACCAGACTCAGTGGCCATAAGCCAAGGCTATGTATGTTCACCATAATCACGGGGGGCATTCACAATAGGGAGTTCTGATAGATGGTGAGGTCTTCCAAATACACTGTTTGCAGATTGTGTTGCACAAAACCAGGAACATTGCAGGACCTCCTCAATGAGATAGATGACTTAGGAATCAATAATCCCTCACAAGAGTTTAATCTAGTGGCATCTAGGTGGTGCAGTGGATAGAGCTCCTGCCTTGGAGTCAGGAGGACCTGATTTCAAATCTGGCCTCAGACATATAACACTCACTAGCTGTGTGACTCTGGGCAAGTCACTTAACCCTGATTTCCTCACCAAAAAAGAAAAAAAAAGAGTTTGGTCTAACTACACACACACACACACACACATCCCTAATGGGCAAAGTATGTCTGTTGTCCAAACCATAGTAGGTAGTTGAGCGGACAACCTATAACTCATAACTCATTCACTATTATTGTGGACAGACATTGCAAGGGGATAATGAGCTGTCCCCAGAATGGAAAAAAAAGGAGGACAGTTGGATTGCCTTTGGAATATTCCAAAGTTCTTTTTATGACTCCAAGCAGGGAAAAATCTTGTTACCACCAATATTCCCCTAGCGATGCAAAACATAGAACACAATAGTCTCCAAAAAACAGAAGTTGGGAATCAGCAAAAAGGCAATGGAGAGAGACCCATGCTGGGCATGAACATTCCGCCACACGGCCAGACTCCCATGGGAAAAGCAGTGGAAAGGAGAGGTTCTTAGAAATAGTTTTATAACTATGTTTCAGTAGAATTGGCTTCCTTCGTAATCCTACGCATTTTGTTTTGAATGTCTTAAAACATTGTTTTGAAAAGGGGTTCATAAGCTTCACTTCTCTTTTTCTCACTCTGATTTTTTATTAAACTTTCACAGGAAAAAACCTTCCACAGAACAATACATATGTTTGACATGACAACAAAGTCCATATGTACAAATCAAACGAGGGATGTTTTATTTCAATAGCGTTTCTTCTTGGTCTTTCACTTTTTGTATCCTTTTCTCTTGATTCCTGATCATTGAAGACATTGTTTGGTTTTTCATTTGTAAATCTTCTACATCGGTTCTGTAGCTTCCTACGTGTTTTTCCAGTTGTTTCTACTGGTTGATCTTGAGAAACTTTAATGTCATGTGTGTGGGTATGTTTCACTTTCAAAGGGGTCCACAGTACGAAAAAACAAGTTAAGACTCTCTGGTGTATAAAGGGTGTCTTAAAGAAATGTGTAAACTCTAAGTGTTGCTATACAGAGGAGTGGTCCTTAGATCCTAAAAAAACCTGAAGTCAGAGCCATCCGCTCTTACTCTCTCTCCTTCCCAGTAAAAGGGCAGAGTTACAGCCTCAGGGATCCATAATCGGGCTTTCACTCTGAAAGTCCCAACTCTGCTTCTTCTAAGGGAAAAGAAAGTGAACCCTAAATTCAGGTTTGAAGTTGTGCTTGCTGGGAGAGTTAGAGAACCATACATAAAACTAAACAATAGCTTGCTAAGCCCCTGGGGAACATGGACCCCCCAAAGCTGGGAGTGATATATTATATCATATATATATAATATCATGATATGTTGTATCATGATATAGTATATCAACTTATACCTGTATTACTCAACCAAATACCTTCTCCCACCCCCATACCACAACTAAAGGCATTTTTACAAAGGCTCCACTTGGATGTCCAAAGTTTTACATAGAGAGAACAAAAGTCAATACAAAAAAGGAATTCTTAACCTTCTTTGTGTCATGGCAGTCGGGTGATGCCTGTGGACTCCTTCTCAGAATCAGATTTTTAAATGCATAAAATAAAATATAACAGATTACAAAGAACGTTAGTAAAATAAAAATGTAATTTGTTCTGTCCCATCCAAGTTCAGAAACCACTCCCCTCTCCCCCACTCATCAAGGTTAAGAACTTCTGATATAAAGGGCAAAACAAGGAACAAAATAACAAATGAAAACCTTGCTAATGAAAAAATCAAGTTTGTGGAGAGAGTTGGGTGGACAGTTGAGTTCTTTCACATTGCTCACAAGGCATCTTCAATCTGACCAGAGCTTCAGCCATGCAAATGAGCTGCCGGGATCCTCTTAATACCTCTCTGATAGCATCATCAACTGTCTTCTCTTCTCCTCACGGCCCTCCCTAAGAAGGGAAATTGCTTCCCTGGGGCTACCATCCATCTCAGCTCCCGTTGTCCTTTGCCTGCGCCACTGCTAGATTCTGCACCACCCCCTCGCTTCTCTCCAACCCCTTGGATTGGCCAAATCTTGCACGGTCCAGTCCTCATATTGTCGTGAAACACTACCCTTCATTTCTCTTCATTTTATTTAGACCCTGGAGGTTTGCTCTATCTCCAGGGTGCTACAAATGTATGACTGAAAAAGAAGATGGGCTAGTCACTTAGTGAGAGCTAGGGATGAGCGGAGGATAGCCTGAGTGGTCTATCAGCATCCCCTTGATTTCAAGAGGAGAACATGAGGAAGGCCTCAAGCTATTGGGCAGGGTCCCCCTGAGGCAAACATATGGGTGAAAGTGCACAAGAAAAGGAGGGACAAGTGTGGATGGTTGTGATCTCTGTCACTGAAGGGAATGCTCCCATTGAGAAGATCATAGGTCCTTTGGAATGGCAGGCATTATTTTCCATCCTCTTTGGATTTTCAAAAATAAATTCATTTATTCTTATATGTGTTTATAATCTATCCCTCCCACTGCCCCCATTGAACAAATATCAACAACAATAAAAATAATAATAATTCTCAGTGGAAAAAAAAAACATTGAGTTAAGTTGACAGAAGGGGCTTGATAGACACAAGCTGGTCTTCCACTTTCCCAAGTGTCCTTCTTCCATTTCAGAAAAAGCCTGTGCAATTCACTGTCCATGCCATCCTCACAACATCAGATTTGGAAATCAATCCCAAAGAAGTGAATTTTGGATACTGTACTATCTATGAAGCTGTTTATACCAAAATTACACTCATGAATAAATCTCTCCTCCCTCAGGAGTTTGGATTCATCAATACCCCAAAGGTACCTATCTGTGGGAATCTCATTGCTGCCATAACTGCTCTGGTATCCCATAGTATTGGGTTGCCCTTGTACCTCAAGCCACCCTTCCTCACTGGCTCCCAAAAGCTACATCAGTATCTGTTGAGCTAGCGCTCCACACCCAGCCCTCAACCCCCACATAGGCTCATAGGCAGAATACGCAGTGGGCTATAACCAGCCAAGAATAATCTGGGCTGACTTTAAAGAAAAACCTCAAGAGAATGTGGTGAAGTAGAAAGAGTCAGAGTTCCATCTGGTTCCAATCCCAGTTTGCTACTGAACTACCCAGGGGACCTTGGACAAGTCACTTAATTTCTGTCCCCTAGTTTCCTCCTCTGGAAAATAAAGGGGTTGGTTTAAATGCCTCCCCAAGGTCCTCTGGGGTGACAGATATTATTTTTTTTTTGGGTGAGGCAATTGGGGTTAAGTGACTTGCCCAGGGTCACACAGCTAGTGAGTGTTATGTGTCTGAGGTCAGATTTGAACTCAGGTCTTCCCGACTCCAGGGCTGGTGCTCTATCCACTGCGCCACCTGGAGTGACAGATATTCTTACCCCTATACCCCTCACACCCTACCCCATCCCCTGTCCAAGGTGGGTACTGTTTAGGGCCTGGGGGGAGGGGTAAGGACAAAGAAGGGAGGGCAGGAGGAATGACAATAGTCATTGCCAGCTTCCTTTCAGTTATCAAATATCTCTTTTTTATTTTCAAGTATGTGGAAGTTCAGCCCAATGACGGGTTTGGAACCATCCTGCCCTTGCAGTCTTTGCCTCTTGATGTCATCTTTAAACCCAGAAAAGCCAAGGAATATGACTTTCAGCTGATTTGCATTTCCGAAATTAACAGGTGAGGTGGGCATCCCCTTAGTAGAACCCTAGAATGTGGGCAGGCTCCTGAGTGTATCCCTGGAGTCCTAAAAAAGGCACTGCCTGATTGCCCGCACGTGAGGTACCACTGTTTTCACACTCTACAGTTTAAAATGGGCATAGTCCATAGGGATAGCCATTTGGCCTGTGGCTAAAACATTAAGGACTTCATGGGGCAGCTAGGTGGTGCAGTAGATAGAGCTCTGGCCTTGGAGTCAGGAGGACCTGAGTTCAAATCCAGCCTCAGACACTTGACACTTACTAGCTGTGTTACCCTGGGCAAGTCACTTAACCCTGATTGCCTCACTAAAACAAACAAATAAACAAAAAAAAAATCTTAAGGACTTCAGAGCAGTGGTGTCCAGTAGAGCTTATAAGGGGAAAATAATTTCCCAAATTTGCTGAACCTTGGTGGGAGTGAATGAGCAATTTGCCCATATAAAATTGGGCTACCCTTGGACAGCTCCCACCTCCAACAGGAGAAATAGCATATTTCCAGTGATTGGCCATCATGTCCTCTGACCCGGGAAACCTTTTAAATAGACCCTGTGTTTTAGATCCCACAGAAATGATCATACCTCCTTCCTAGCTGCCAAGACAGCTAAAGAAAGGAACAACTAATGTTTCCTTCTGAGCAAAAAAGCAAATACAGAGTTGGGTAAAATGAACCTGGTGAGCCTCTTATTCCTTCCCGAGTCTCCCAGACGTCCCTTGATGTTCTTGTCCCATCTTGCTTGTTACAGTACAGTATCATTAGGGTTTGAGTCCTGAGACCCTGGTGTGCCGACAATGTGGGGTACGTGTGCCAGGTTGAGAGTGCAGTATGTGAGAATTCAGAAATGCAAGACGTTACCCGCTTGGAAATCACCTTTGCTCCTCATTACTGCTGTCTTTTTCTTCTCTACCAAGAGGAAACATGTTTCTCCACCTTCCTTCCTTTGTTATTTGGGCTCCGCTCTCATTTTTAGGTGTAAAGCATCTTTCCGTTCTCTCTGGTAACATTTCCGTCAACTTTGCCCACAGCTAGACCTGGTTTCATTCCATGGTAGCCCTGAAGAGTAGATGGGGAGCAGGGCGGGGGTCCTGTGAGGAGGAGACTACCCTGGGGGCCCACTTCAGGAAAGCTGACTTGGAAAGGGTCATTCAAACATTCTGATTTCTAACTGTTGGCCTTCCAGAGAATTTACACTGTCGTGCAAAGCGATTGGCGTCCACCCCCCTCTGGAGCTGTCTCACTACCGAGTCAAGTTTGCAGCCACTGCTTTATTTGATATGTCAACAGTTACCCTGTATGTGATCAACTCCCACATAAACATGAATCCTCTGACTCACTCGGTGCCCCGAATTGGTTCTGGGGAAATCGCTCCTGTAGGACCCACATCTTTTGAGTTCCTTTTGCCAGACAATGCTCCCATCATGATCATTCCCTCTGTGGGAACTGTGCTACCAGGAAAGGTGAGTGTGGACCCTAAAGAAGGAAAAAGGGGGAGTTCTTTAGCTTGGGCACAAGAGCCAACTTGTTTTTCACCCATTTGCTCCCCAAACCTCAAAAAAGAATGGGAATAAATGGAATAATGAATGAATGAATGAATGAATGAATGACAAGCCCTAATTAAATGTTTACTATGTGCCAAGCACTATGCAACGTGTTAAAGATACAAAGACCAGCAATCAGTCTGATCCCTGCCCTTAAAGAGCTCAAATTGGCTGGCTTTACAACATGCAAAGTCCTCTACTGGGAAGTAAACAACATAGCATTCATCTCCCCATTTTACAGATGAGGAAACTGAGGTTCAGGAAAGCTAACCTCACCCAAGCTCATACAACTAGTCATCTCGGAGGAATGACTCAACCCCAGGACTCCTGACTCCATATCTATCTTTCTGTCCTTCTGGGACTCATTTTTCCTAATTTTTTTTAAAAGACATGATTTTTATTGAACATTTATAAGACTTACTTTTACATTATTACAAATACTTTACAACATGTTTTCCTAATTTTTAAAGGGTTTTGTTGGTTTTATAGTCAGTTTGCTTAGGTCAATAATAATCATGCAAAATCAGTGTGATTATTATCCTCAGGAAACTGACAGAAGGGGAAATAGAGGCATCTCTACAGCTCATGCCAGTGGGAGTCATTTTTAGCCTGTTTGGCTCAATGAATCATCCCATCTCAAAATAGAAAAGGATTAAAAGTGTCCACACGGCTCCATGCTCTCTTTTTATACCTGGGAGTCAGAAGACTGAGGTGAACCTCTGATGTTTCCATTCATATTTTTATTTTATAGAAGAAAAAAAACCTTTGTTTTCTTTTTAAAGACCCTTACCTTCCTCATGGTTGCCCTCTGAGCACAGGCTTCTGTTGTTTCTGTATTCTTTCCCAGAAATGCATGATTGAAGTGATTTTCAAACCAGTGCTGTCAGAGACTACAATCAAAAAAGAAGTTGTGAGAATGAGGAACATAAAACTAGGAGTAAAACCGGTATGACGATAAAGGAAAACCTAACCTGTACAACCACATGAAATAATACTCATGGGGATGAAGACCAGTCACAAGTACTGAAAAATGTAAATTCCAAAAAGCTTTTATAAAGAAACAAAGTTTTATTCATAACTAACCATCTAGCAGCACTGGCTGTACTTCAGGCCTACTGTAAGGAATTTCTTTAATGAGGCAGCTAGATTGCATAGTGGATAGCGCACTGTTCTTGGAGGCATTAAGACCTGAGTTCAAATCCAACCTTAGACACTTACTAGGTGTGTGACCCTGGGCAGGTCAGTTTTATCTTCTGTAAAATGGGTCTAATAGTAGCACCTACCTCCCAGGATTATTGTAAGAATCAAATAAGATAATAATTGTAAAATGCTTAATATGGTGCCTGGTACAAAATAAGCACTCCATACATGTATTGTATATGTGTAAATATATATACACATAAATATATATAGCATGTGTATACATGTATACACACATATATAGTATATGTATATATATATAATACACACATATATAGTATGTGTATATATGTATACACACACATATATATATACATACACATATACACACGTGTATACACACTTTTTTTTTCAGTTGTGTCCAACTCTTTGTGACCCCATTTGGGGTTTTCTTGGAGTGGTTTGCCATTTTCTTGTCTAGCTCATTTTACAGATGAGGCAAACAGGGTTAAGTGACTTGCCCAGGGTCACACAGCTAGTACGTATCTGAGGCCAGGTTTGGACTCAGGGAGATGATTCTTCCTGACTCCAGGTTTAAGTGTTCCACCCACTGTGCCACCTAGCAGAGAGAGAGAGAGAGAGAGATACATACATACATACACACACTAGTATACTATAGTATATTATATATACTATAATATAGTATGTTATATATACTATAATATAGTATGTTATATATACTATAATATAGTATGTTATATATACTATAATATAGTATGTTATGTATACTGTAATATAGTATATTATGTATACTATAATATAGTATATTATATATACGAGAACATGTTATTATTGTTGCTATTGTTCAGAATAAGACATGACTATTTCACTGAATGTGGGACCCCCACATTCAGGAAATTCCCTCCAGTGCCACTAATGCTCTGGTCTTACATCTGTGATCACTTGTTTGTATAAACCTCTGGGAGCTCCTTGAGGCTGAGACTGTCTTTTACTTATTCTTGTAGGTGCTTAATAAACATTTATTTATTGACTGACTAAATGTAAGCTCCTTGAGGATAGGAGCTATTCTCTTTATTGCTATTTGTATCTCCAGGGCTTAACAGAGTGCCTGTAAATGCTCACTCTAAAGGAAGGAAGGAAGGAAGGAAGGAAGGAAGGAAGGAAGGAAGGAAG